AGAGTACAGGATACATTTTCTGTGCAGGAAAATGTCAGAACATCCTGGGAAGTCATACGGTCCAACACAATCCAAAGGACAAGCGATGGTGAATAGTCAACAAAACACCTCATAGATAAGAAAACGTGAATAATTAGACAACTAATAGATCATTAAGGCTTCACTGCAGTAGTTTTACGTGCTTGGCAGCTATCAAAACACATGACAGAGATCTGCATTAGAAAAACATGCAGGGACAATTGAACAGTATGACAGAGAGAACTGCCAACTGTTACCATGGCAAACACATCCTGATTGGTGTAACTATCTGATACTCACCAGGCCATGCTTCAAGGACATTGTCGTGGTTTGTTGGGAAAAGGGAATAGCTATCCTGGAGAAACACAAGAGGGCTGGATTCACTCAGTAGCTGTTATCATGTCGTCTTTTATCTCCCAGGTGTTCAGCAGTGTGTTTACTACGGATGGAGATGATGGATCCTAAAATAGTGCAGTTGTTGCCTGGTTAGATGGAGGTTCCGCAGAGGAAAAAAATTTGAGACGGAAACATCGTTTTGAGATGACTGTCCCGACCAGTGAATCAAAAAGGCAAAGGTATTTTGCTTGTTTTTTACGCTTCTTCTTGAACGTGTAAATCAAAGAGGTGGTGAAGCGTGGTGATGCGGTATTTGGATTTTCTATGCGATGTGTGATGAGAGCCCCCTCGCTGAGCTGCGCGCTGAGGACCGTGGACGCAGCATCCGCGCGGGCTGCTATGCGCGCGGATGGAGAGGACGGAAAGGAGGAGGAGGGGAGACTCTCTCTCTGTATCCCCACCCTCAAATCCCTCCTACTCTGCTCCATTACAGTGCGATCACGTCAGCTCACACAACATGCCACATGCGCCGAGTTCAAACCTCCGAGTTAATGCAAGAACAGGACCGATAGGTGCTTTGGGTCATTTCACGACACAGGTGCCATTTAGCCTTTTAAGTAATTTATTTGAGAATTTTTAATATTCTATGAGACAACGAATGTCTTAAGTGCTAAGAAACGACTTTGTCATCTCAAGCTAAATTATGTAAATTAATGTAAAAATTACATATGCAAACATATAAGGTTGATGGTAGCAGGGTTGACTAGTGCTCAAGGTCAAGAAACTGAAAGGAGTTAATTTTTACTGTGCATATTTCCACAAATATACTTTTTTTGCACAATAAACTGTTATATGTTTTTTTTACGGAGGGTTCATTAACTTAACTTAATAATACATAAACTTGAATACAAAGTGGTAAAAAAGCAGAAACACTTGTCCTTGAGGGGTTCATGTCCACTAGCATAAAGAAAATAAATAAAAGCACATGTAGGGTGTATATTCTATATACCCTATAGATAGTTAGATATAACCAAACTATATATAAGGTATATATTTATACATTTAAAACCTGGTTTCACAAACAGGGCTTAGACTAAAACAGGATTAGGCTATACTTCAATTAGGACATTTAAGTCATTTTTTGCACGTGCTTTAGAAAAAAAAACATTACTGGTGTGCAACTTCTTTAGACAAAATAAAGGCACCGATATATTTTAAGATCAGCCAGTGCAAGTTTCTTTCAGTTGAAACGGCTCAGAATTACATTTTAGTCTGGGATTAGACTTAAGCCTTGTCTGTGAAACCAGAGGAAAATGTTTAATTAGTAAAATACATGCGTGAATTTTTCCATATATATTTTCCTTTTATTGGATAGATATAGATAGATAGATAGATAGATAGATAGATAGATAGATAGATAGTGCATCTAATAGCAAACTATGCAATTTTGCTTCAAAGCAGCAAACAGCTGAGGAGCAGTTTTTCTATGATGTGCATTTGATTCAAATCTGGACCATAATTCTCTTGGTGTCCCTGGTACGTCTCACTTTCAAGTTGTGTTTTCAATTCATTAATTCAGACGCCCCATCACACCCACACAGGTGTAATCTTCTAGCTGTCTCCAAGCTTACAGGGCTCAAATCTAATAGCCCTAATGCAGGAGGCCTCTCAGACCAGCAAGAAAAAGCTTTTATGTGCTGACGAGTGCTCAAGTGTGCCTCTCCTGAAGCCTTCATATGCAAACACACATACACACAGGCACTAAATGCTCTTCAGCAGATGTTCACGTTAACTCGAAAGCACAGAGGGAAATACCAAGAATTGGATGACAGTTTTTGGTAGGTTGCACCTAGTTGTCAATAATATACTCCCAAGATGAAGTCTGACATGTCTAAACTGACAATCCATGTTTCACTGTCCTTGCAATCGACATGAGAAAAAAAGCATGTATTGGCTGATTTTGCATGCCTCCAATTGCACACTCTTCAACACCACATTTTTTCTTCCCTACTCGTGCACACGAGACTGCTCACACTGAAATATTTGTGAGGCACGTCCGGGAAAGTAAAGAGAAAGTTTCAGATGAGGGGTTGTATCTATAATTCAGAGGTGAGGGTTTAGGAGATGACTATCCCTCTGGGAGCTGCCGTACATTAGCCCTGCAGGTAGTGCATCCCAGCCTTGGAGCCCAACCCAACAGATGGAGTCTCGCTGTCAGTAAAAACGCAATCCGCCCAATCTCATGTTACATCTCGCCACTTTACTGAGGAACTCCATCCAAAAGCTAGCCGAGTGAAACTGTTCCATGTCTGTGAACTCCAACCCACATCTCCAGGATTCAACATGAATGTTGTTGCATCTAAAGGCTCTCTATTCTGGGATGGAGATTAGATTCGAACCATTCACCATTTCACAGCTATTTCAGCAGTGGTTGAGCAGAAAACAATTCCGGACTAGAATTATAGAGATAAAAATTGCCATTTACTCACCCTCATGTTGTTCCAAATATATGCTTTTCTTTCTTCAGTGGAACACAAAAGAACTGTTTTTGTTTATACAATGAACAAAAAGAACAAAACTAGACCCCACTGACCTTCACTGTATGGACAAAAACAACATTGAATCTCTTTTAAAATATCTTTGTTTTCCCACAGGCAAAAGTCAGTCATACAAGTTTGAGATAATATGGGGCTAAGTAATTGATGACAAATTTTCATTTTTGGGTGAACTATCCCTTTAAATGGTCCCTTGGCTAATCATCCCATTTCTAGTGCAATTTTTACCTGTAACTACTCTTGTTTCTAATCCCCTTGCACTTCTTTCTGTTGCTCATTATGCTGTAAATACAAAGATATACATTACAACACTTTCATTTAGCTTTTCTTAAGCACTCTCTGAATTGAACATCAATAGTTTGCCTCTCTGAGAGTTGATTGATTTGGCTGCACTCCCAACTCTGGCAGGAGTTCTGATGTCAAGAAGAGAAAAACGCTGCATGTTTGGTCTGCAACAGATATTGTAGTACTTCCAAAATGGGAGCAAGTCCGGGAATATTCTTAGGGGGGAATGGGTTGTTTGCAGGTTGAGAAACTTAACAATTTGAGGCATGACACAGAACTATCGTTCTGGCTCAAGGATGCAGTGATTTGCAGGTTGAATGGCTCGTTCACCATAAAATAAGAATTGTCATAATTTATTCACCCCTCATGTTGCTACAAACCTGTATGACTCAATTTCTTCAGCTAAGCACAAAAGCAGATATTGTGAAATACTGTTTTTGTCCATACAAAGAAAGCCAATGGGGTTCAAAATAACATTGGACTAAATTGACTTTTATTGTGTGGACAAAAACCAAGCAGACTTTTTTCCTTCAAAACATGTTCTTTCTTGTTCCGTATAAAAAACAAACTTGAAATATAAAAAATGTATATGTAGAAAATAAAATTAACCTAGATTAATAAATTATAAAATTGTTAGCGCCTTGTGCTGAATGCATTAGGTTAATGCATTTAACCATATAATAAATGTGTTACAAAAACAGTGGCTAATACAAAAAAAATTGGACTCATTTTGACATTCACTAAATGGATTAAAAAAAAATTCAAAATAAATAAATACATTTCATAAATATTCCACATAGGCAGCAAGTCATACAGGTTTGGAACGACATGAGGGTAAGTAAATTATGACAATTTTCATTTTGGGGTGAAATGTTCCTTTAAGAACCTACATTTTAAATCTTTTTTTTTTTTTTCAAATCAGTTTTGATTATTTAAAAAAGCTCCAGAATTATGAAAAAAAAACATACTTCATCCAGTACCATTACAGGAAAATGGAAAAGAGGAATGTTAATAGAGTAACCTTGAATGGGAGAAAAGAGTTTGGAGTGATCTGTAATGTGAGGCAGTGAGGAGAAAGGACAGGAAAGAGAAAGAGATTAAAGACTACGAGATGAACACCATGAGAGAAAATCACAGAGCCAAGAATGCAACAAAGAGGCTTGCTTTTACACAGGACAAAATCTTAGAATGGGGGACACAGATTGAAAGAAGAGAACCAAGAGAGATGGCAAAGAGAGTAAGGTTAGAGTCACAATCAATCCCATCCTTCCTATTCCCAGCACTCTATCCCATAGTGAGGGCCATGCTGATGTTTTATTGATGGAAGAGAATCCGGCTGCACATGTACCCTCTCCATAATTCATGATGCCCAGCATTAGGGCCTGCCTGCTGAGAGATGTGTGTACGTAACTGTGTGCGTGTGGCAAGGAGAGGGAGAGAGAAGCAGGAATGTTTAGATATTTTTCCCAAATATAATCCATAAAACTGCTTACCGCAAAGGAAATTCATCAATCTGCATCGATGGATGAATAAACGATAGGGCGAATTGTAAAATAACTAACATTTTACAGTAAGTTATTTCTTAATGCATTATGTATCATGAACTAACAAAAAACAGATTTTTACAGCATTAATTAATCAATATACTATTATATAATATTCTATTATACATTAAAAATGTTAGTTGATGTAGAAATTAACATTAATCAATATGAATAAATGCAATAAAATCGTTAGTGCACGATACCAAATGTTAACAAATTTAACCATATAACAAATTTGGTTATGCAAACAAATAGCCACAGTTATAATATCCTAAGAGCAATTAAATACACTATTTCTAAATCATAGTGATTTTAAATCCTAGTTTGTTTGTTTTTTTCAAGATCTAGATGACTGAAACCTGATGCCAAAGAAAACTCTTAAAACAGCAGTTGCAGTCACTGGTCAACACAATTCAGTAAGCTACAGGGGAAACAGCTGGTTAACATGTTAGCAATGACTGATTTGGTAAATAATGACTAAATTAGTACATTTCCCCGACTGCAATTATTTGATGTGCTGAGCTTGACAGGTGTGCTATAATGGAGTCTTACATTTGTATGTTTCAAAGGCTCCCTCCACAATAGCAGTTGCCATAGTAACTTAAGATCCACTCTAGAGCAATGTCCTGACCTAACTAGATCCAGAAATTTCAAGTAGAACATCATAGATGAAAAAAAAAAACTACAAAGAAAGACTATTTAAAGGTTCGGTTTCAAAAAGCATTAGTGCAAAAATTTTTTATTCGTAATTACATTTTTAAATATAGACTTAGAATGAACCTGTCAGTTCATGTTCATCTTTAGCTGATTATGAAAAGTTTACGTCAGTGAAGTGTTGTTTTTGAAGTTTGAAATAGAAGTCTGGTGTCTAATAAAACTGTGGTGCTTTGCTTTACAGCATACAGTAATACTGCTTTAAGGAGTTACATAAAGAAGCCTACCGGGACAAGTTCTGTAGGGAGAGGAGGAGAGTAATTAAATTAGAAAATATAAAAGAAATGGCTCAGATCTAGCGTTCACCTCAGAATTTAGCTCTGGGGACAGGATGGCTCTTCTTTTGTTTCATTCTTCCTTCAACCAGCTATTCCATCTCTTTTGCAATTTCTCTCTCCCTTTTTAGGGGGAAAAATAGCACAAGGTAGGAGAAGAAAGTAGGTCTGTGGCTGGGAATTGATTGATGAGGTGTGGCTAAAGTCTGGTTTTCATAGCGTCACTTACAAAGCCTGCTCCTATATGTAAATTCCTCTCATCATTCTTGATGAGCCTATCTAAACCTTCATGTTCTGAAATGTAATTAACAAGTAGAGCTCATTAGGTTACATCACAACATCAGGAGATAGAGGGTTCAATGCATGTGTTAAGATGATGGTCAGATACAGCTACAGTTGAAGGTGTTGGTTTCCGCGTCAGTGCTTTAGTACCCGCTTCATTCTTTGTCTCTCAGGTACACTTGGCCTCCATGTCATAGAGCTGCAGTAATTCACTCATGATGGTCTCAATCTGAGCCTTGGTGATGTCTGCACAAACAACCTGCAGGAAAACAACCAAAACATCAATGCAGATTGCAGAGTTGATCTGCACGCTATATTTGAGATGACAACTAAATATTAGTTCTGAGGCAACTAATAATAGAGTCTAATCTCTTGTAGATGTGTACTTTTCGCAGTCTAGAGAAAACAGCTGCTTCCTATTTCAATTTCCTCTAAGAGGACTTGTTGTGGATACATTTTTACCTGAAATACCCATTTAAAAAGTCATTGTAAACAGGAAACCCAACAAAGGAGAGAGAAAGATGAGGAAAAATGGTACATTCATTGAACTAGATTTATAAATATTTGTTATTTCATGAAAGTACTAAAAACCTAAATTCTGCTAGTTCCAGCCTCAGATGGAATGCCCATATGATATGAAAATTTTGATAGTGACGTGACGTGACATGTGGCCAAGTATGGTGACCCATACTGGGAATTAGTGCTCTGCATTTAACCCATCCAAAGTGCACACACATAGCAGTGAACACACACCCGGAGCAGTGGGCAGCCATTTTTGCTGCGGCGCCCGGGGAGCAGTTGGGGGTTCGGTGCCTTGCTCAAGGGCACCTCAGTCGTGGTATTGAAGGTGGAAGAGAGCGCTGTACATTCACTCCCCACACCTACAATCCCTGCCGGTACGAGACTCGAGCCCGCAACCTTTGGGTTACGAGTCCGACTCTCTAACCATTAGGCCACGACTTCCCTAGAATCGCCCCACCACACCAGACGCGAAGCGAATATGCGCATGGCGTCACTTGCTCTAGTGTGCTGATTATTATATTTAATAATAACCAATAATTAATTATACAGTAATGGCCAATAGTGATGTCTGGAGAGGATATTTTGCTCAAGCCAATCAGCGAAGAGTTTCTTGACATGTCCATATGAATCAGACAATAGAAGAGAGCATTATTGCAGCCATCTGTTATTATATAGGTCTGGAGCATAGAAAACAATTAAAATCAGTTTTAGTGGTAGTTGTATGTTATTAGCATGGCTACAGAGATGCTGCTATCAATAATAAAAATAATAGTAATATCAGTGTATATACACATAAAAGTAAAATGTAACACACACATTAATGGAGGATCCTAATGTTACTCATCCTCCTCTGGATGGTGCTGTGAACCCAGACACGTCGGCGTTTGGCTTTCCATTGTATTTGGGACTTTTTGACAACAGGTACAAAACAGCAATTGTAGTTATCTCCAGCATGGTTGATCGTGCCATGTTTTAATTTGCGCGAGTGACACGAAAAACATCCCGCGAGAGTAATCTAGAGCAAGTGACGCCATGCGCATATTCGCATCGCGTCTGGTGTGGTGGGGCGATTCTAAGATAATCATTTTAGGGGGGCTATAGCCCCATAAAAATGGCCTAGCAATGCCCATGGTGTGAACACACCATAAGGCCCAATCCCAATTCTATTTTATACCCCTTCCCCTTGTCCCTTGAAACAGAGTGTCAAGGGGTAGGGGTGAAAATATTCCCCTAAGAATTGGGACACCACTACTACACCGTTACACGTCATCATACGTTGTCTAGCTCCTACAATAGACACACCTATACTAGTGTGCATTAGAGCCTTTAATTACCATTCTATATTAATGCGCTGCTTACTGACACACACACACACACACACACACACAAACAAACACATCAGAGATCGCGCAGCTCACACATCCAGGAGAAAAGAAACTTGTCAACGCTGCCCCACGACTTTTATTAATAACAGTTTAAATACTGAATCGCTACATTATATTTTCCAGCAACGAGAAGATAAAATCGCTGTTTTTGAAGTTAACTCACTCTAAAAAGATAAACGCACAGACGTGCATACATGTAACTTTTATCTCTCTCTCTCTCGAATTGAGAAAAATCTATATTTGAGAAAAGGGTTTAGCGATGTCAAATTATTGGGGAGACTAGCCCCCTCAATGTCTACGTTGGTTATCACCCTGATCAGACATGAAAATATGTTGTGGTACTATTGTGCAGTAATGATATGATGTTAGCAAACTTTAGCAATTTTTTGCAAACATTTCTTGATTGAATGTGACATAAAACAAATGATTACTTTTCATTAAAATCTTTATCAATGTCAAAAATGCTTACATCTATGTGTCTTTTTGTTTGCTCGGGCAGCCATGTTGCCGCTGAAGCCGGTTTACACTGAGATAATTCATACCCCTTCGTTTGAAGTGTGGTCCCGAAAAATCTTCGTTTGAAGGGCTACCCCTACCCCTCCAACCAAAAGAGAAAGGGGAAGGGCTAAGGGGTAGAAATGGGATTTGGCCTAAGTCTATTGGATTCTAGTGATGGCACTTGACAATTCTAGGAAACTGAAGCTAAGCAAGTGGTTTTAAGAGACTCTGAAATGTATTAAAAGGTTTGATTCTTTTTAAATATTACTTTAGGATGTCACCAAGGGAACACAACTTGTGTGAAAGACAATGTTATTTCTCTCAGACCAGGCAGCAGCCATTAGGTGCCCTTATTGCCATGGTAACTACTTCCCGCACTCTAAAGGTTACTGCAATCGTGGCTCGATTGATGCCTGATCCGGCTCTGGCACCGGTGAGACTCAAACTAGTCAACGTTCAGTCTCGGTGACTCAATGCAAACTCAGCATGACCCAAATGCTGCCTGGACATTTTTTGTTTTTCTCCTCATGAAACTGTAAAAAAAAAAAAAATCATACCTGCCACCACTCTAGTTCTCCTCTGGGGAGCTGCACTCCATATGTCTGGAGAGCAAGATAGAGGGAGGTGAGGGCAAGGTGTTGAGGCTTATGGCGGACACACACAGAGCCATGGTAACTGTCTTTTAATACAGCCAGGGCTGTCTCTGCGATGGGGGTTCGTGACCAGGCGTGGCGATTCAAAAGACTCCTCACAGAGAGCAGGTAGTGCAGCACGTACTGGGACACAGCAAAATTAAGTTTGTTAGATGGAGCAAAATACAATTAAACTTTGGACAGCATTAGTTAGAGAAGGTACAAAGATGAGAGTAAGTTTACAATATATAATGGATTAAATTTTTTTCAATCGAGAATGAAAATAATAGATTCATTGAGTCTTGACACTGTGCATAAAGAACCTCTGCCAGTGATGCCACTTTAAATCAGAGATCGCGCAGCTCACACATCCAGGAGAAAAGAAACTTGTCAACGCTGCCCCACGACTTTTATTAATAACAGTTTAAATACTGAATCGCTACATTATATTTTCCAGCAACGAGAAGATAAAATCGCTGTTTTTGAAGTTAACTCACTCTAAAAAGATAAACGCACAGACGTGCATACATGTAACTTTTATCTCTCTCTCTCTCGAATTGAGAAAAATCTATATTTGAGAAAAGGGTTTAGCGATGTCAAATTATTGGGGAGACTAGCCCCCTCAATGTCTACGTTGGTTATCACCCTGATCAGACATGAAAATATGTTGTGGTACTATTGTGCAGTAATGATATGATGTTAGCAAACTTTAGCAATTTTTTGCAAACATTTCTTGATTGAATGTGACATAAAACAAATGATTACTTTTCATTAAAATCTTTATCAATGTCAAAAATGCTTACATCTATGTGTCTTTTTGTTTGCTCGGGCAGCCATGTTGCCGCTGAAGCCGGTTTACACTGAGATAATTCATACCCCTTCGTTTGAAGTGTGGTCCCGAAAAATCTTCGTTTGAAGGGCTACCCCTACCCCTCCAACCAAAAGAGAAAGGGGAAGGGCTAAGGGGTAGAAATGGGATTTGGCCTAAGTCTATTGGATTCTAGTGATGGCACTTGACAATTCTAGGAAACTGAAGCTAAGCAAGTGGTTTTAAGAGACTCTGAAATGTATTAAAAGGTTTGATTCTTTTTAAATATTACTTTAGGATGTCACCAAGGGAACACAACTTGTGTGAAAGACAATGTTATTTCTCTCAGACCAGGCAGCAGCCATTAGGTGCCCTTATTGCCATGGTAACTACTTCCCGCACTCTAAAGGTTACTGCAATCGTGGCTCGATTGATGCCTGATCCGGCTCTGGCACCGGTGAGACTCAAACTAGTCAACGTTCAGTCTCGGTGACTCAATGCAAACTCAGCATGACCCAAATGCTGCCTGGACATTTTTTGTTTTTCTCCTCATGAAACTGTAAAAAAAAAAAAAAACCCTCCTACCTGCCACCACTCCAGTTCTCCTCTGGGGAGCTGCACTCCATATGTCTGGAGAGCAAGATAGAGGGAGGTGAGGGCAAGGTGTTGAGGCTTATGGCGGACACACACAGAGCCATGGTAACTGTCTTTTAATACAGCCAGGGCTGTCTCTGCGATGGGGGTTCGTGACCAGGCGTGGCGATTCAAAAGACTCCTCACAGAGAGCAGGTAGTGCAGCACGTACTGGGACACAGCAAAATTAAGTTTGTTAGATGGAGCAAAATACAATTAAACTTTGGACAGCATTAGTTAGAGAAGGTACAAAGATGAGAGTAAGTTTACAATATATAATGGATTAAATTTTTTTCAATCGAGAATGAAAATAATAGATTCATTGAGTCTTGACACTGTGCATAAAGAACCTCTGCCAGTGATGCCACTTTAAAGCAGTATTAGAGCACTTACATACTATAAGAGTTTTAACTATAATTAATATTTTGCATTACCTTTTATTTTTATACTTTTATACAGTTTTCATTTATATCTGTAGTCATTTTGCTGTGCTTTACTCATTTCATTAGTTTTGGGTATATATATACAATTTAAATTCAAAATTTTAATTTAAAAGTATTTAAATTCACAAAAGTTTTTTTTTTTTACTGTAAATTGTTTGCAGCAGAGCAATATTTTTTAATAATTTTCTATTTTATTGTTTGGCACACAAGGCACAGTATATATTATATAAGCTTTTTGCAAACCGTTCATGCAAAATGTTCACTGGCAGCCATTAATGGAAAAATTGTTTTTCAAAACCTATAGTTTTTCTTTTCTGTGGAGAACAGATACACTGACAGTCAAACATGAACAGTAAGATTTTTAATGTTTTTTAAAGAATTCTCTTCTGCTCACCAAGCCTGCATTTATTTGATCCAAAATACAGTAAAAGCAGTAATGTTGTGTTTTTTTTATTATTTAAAATAACTGCTTTCTATTTGAATACATTTAAAATTGTAATTTATTCCTGTGATTTCAAAGCTGACTTTTTATCATCAATACTCCAGTCCTTCAGAAATCATTCTAATATTCTAATTTGCTGCTCAAAAAACATTTATTATTATTATTATTATGTTGAAAAAAGCTGAGTAGAATTTTTTCAGGTTTCTTTGATGAATAGAAAGTTCAGAAGAACAGCATTAGAAATCTTTTGTAACATTGTTTATGTATTCACTTTTTAACGCCATGCCAGCATCAAGGCTATTTTCATGGCGATCTCTGAATAAATTATACAAGGTATACAATTAACAAAAGGTTATAAAAGACATTTCAGATGTACACTAGACAAAAATTCTAAAATACATTCAGGTGATACATTTTTAAATAAATCAGTTAGACACACCTCTGAATAAAACTGTTGTCTATTTACATTAAAAACAGTACAATCCAATAAAATGTTTCAGTCATTTTAGTTTGGCAAGTAAGGCATGATGGTGGTTCTTCACCTTTTAATAAATATCCATGTGTAAATCTTGTATGAACTAAAAGACACCTTGTAAAAACATCTTGGCCATACCTAGATTTAAAATTAGAAAAAAACAAGGATTTGTTTCATATAATTTCTTTTTAAGACATTTATCCCATTCCATCAGCCACATGTCATTAATATAAGAGTTTATCACAGGTTTGACATCACAAAAAGGAATTTGACACTCGGAAATATTCAGTTTGATTGCTTCTTTTGCAGTGATATCTGCTTTCTCGTTACCAGAAAAACCCATATGACCTGGAACCCAGCAGAAGAAAATACTGAAGTTTTTTTGTAACATTATAAATGTCTTTATCGTCACTTTTGATCAATTTAAAGCATCCTTGCTAAATAAAAGTATTAATTTCCATAATAATACTTCACAACATTACTGCTTTTGCTGTATTTTGGATCAAATATATGCAGGCTTGGTGAGCAGAAGAGAATTCTTTAAAAAACATTAAAAATGTTACTGTTCAAAAACTGAAGTGTTTATTACCGATTTTAAAAGCTTGAGAACAAGGTAATCATTGCATACATTACCTTATGTGGATGCTCAAAGGACACTTGGAAGTTAAGCTGTCGAAGGACAAGGAGCTCACATTGTACTATACTGTCCCTCAACTCCCAAAACTTCCCATCCAGTTCCATTGGTTCACTCTCTGGGTGAAAATACCTGGATCAAAGAAAAAGAGAGGAAATGACCTACTATACATGAACTCTGAGAACTAAACTGTGACTTAATATCCTTTCTCATACATACCTGTGACAGACATTGATGATATCTCTCGTCCTGAGATGCTGCTCTTCTACTTTGCCTGCGAGGTAGATGGCAGACATGGCCACTAGGTAAGGCTCATAGACCTGCAGACTGGCAGACTGGAAGAACCTGTGATACAGCACACATGCTGTAGCCATGGGCACAGATCTCATGCCTAACTTCACTCCTACAGATGCGGAAAACACGGGATGCACATGGGATCACAAACTGCACAGCAATTCATCCTTGGATAACGAGAATGAACTAACAAGCATCCTTACGTTACAATTTCGACAGTTAGAGAGATTAAAACACATCTCTAAACATTTCAGAAAAACTGCAAATACCAGCCTCGATGATAAACCGACAGACTCTGAAGTGTGTTTTGGAGTCTTCCACATCTTGAGCACTTCTTCTGCCTCTCGCTTCATTGACGGATCCAGATGCTGACGCCTGCCTGCTCATTTTACGGCTTACAGTTTCAAAGCGTGTTATTCAGTATATATTAATGTTGTTCGTATGCATTTTTGTACAACAAACTTAACAACTCCTCCATTTGTATAAGTTGGTTATCCAAATACAATGACTTTCCTTCAGCGGATCGTTTAGCGTGTGCAACGTAGAGCTCAATGATCTCTAGCGCCCCCCACGCACGGGAAGAGTAAACTGAGCGCTGAAGGAAAGAGAAATAATTATTTTTTATATAACTATTATATAACATATAATATATGAGTTGTCACTTTAAAATAGTCACGTTGACAAGTGAGCATTTTAAAGAGTCAAAGAATACGAAAAAGTGAACTACTGATTTGAAAGTATCATTTTGAGTGGTTGCTAGGAGACCACTGCCAACACATTCGAGCGGAAAGATGTCGACTAGTTACTCTGCAAACCAGGTGCTTAAATTGTAACTATTCTACTATTTGATATATTTTTTTATTGTATAATTGAATAACCTTGACGTATTTAATAAATGTATGGTGTTTTCTGCAGTATGAAAATGCTTTTAAGTCGCAAAAGCTCCAGAATTGGACCATCCCAAAACACTTCAAAGAGGTAACGTTAACTTAACACAGTCAGTCTCATTGGTAAAGCCGTTTGAGCTCGAATAACTGTCAATTTAATCGTTTACAAAAATGTTTGCAAAAGAACAGCGTTTATTTGAAATAGAAATTCTTTATTCATAGAAAACAAATCATCTTCACCGTCACTTTTGACTAATTTAATACATCCTTGCTTAATAAAAATATTTATTTCTTTCAAAAACAATCTTGCAACCAAACCTTTGAACTGTAGTGTACACTTTACTGTTACTGAGCATTTCCATTACACAAACACCATGAGTGAACCATGCAAATGCAGAAGCATGCACGTCAGTCAAACAGGGCACAGGGCACAACGGTAAATGTTTACTTCGAGTCCTTTTTCATTTAAAGGACGCAGTTATACAAATTGCACTGGGTGGAGAGTATAATTGCCTAACGGTAGCTCATATTATAAATTCTTGCGTTTGGAATATTTACTTTTTGTTCCTCAAGAGACCAGCAGCAGCAGAAGGCCACACTACATTTATAGCCACAGACCGTGGCCACCTTCTACCTGGTGTCAGAACAAAGGTTTGTTTTGATGATTTGCATGACTTGCATGAAATTTAAATGTAATTACCAAGCTTAAAACGTTTTGCAGCAGTTTCATTTGACTATTTATAAATGATTTCATTATTAGAGTGGAAGTGCATGGCCAGTATTCCAAGGCACATGGGATTTACCTCAGTATATCAGTCCTACTTCCATAAACCCCACTGCCCGTTCACGAGAGGGCGAGGATCGCCTCAGGACCTGGGGACAGATGAAATTTGCCACAAACCAGACTCATGAGGCCCCTGATGGCAGCCAGGCTACAAACAGAACCATTAACAATGTGGTGGGTGTTTAATATCTCCTACTTATGATGCTATGGTGTTATATTACATTGCTTTTAATAATTCTGACTAAACAATATGCTTATAGGAAAACATAAATGTGGACCAGCCTGCAGAAGAGTCAAAAATGCCAGTGAGTGACCCAGACCGAAATGAACCAGAGAGGCCCAAATCACATCACAGCCAAGACCAGTCTAACCCAGTAAACCTTCTCGAAAACCAAACCCTATCTAGACCAGGAAGTCACCACAGCCAACAGGCTCCATCCAGACCAGCCACTCAAGAGAGCCAAGCTGAGTTAAGACCACCAACCCAGAACAGCAGACCAGCATCTCAGCAGAAATAACACCATTTATAATCAGATCCCCTGCATGGGCAGTTATAAAAGTTGTTCCATGAAATGGCATTACGTAAGCCTACCACTTCTTTGAAAAACACTTTTACTTTACAGATATGATTATTTTTGTGTTCCATTGATTTATAACCGTGCTCTCTGTTTGTGCATACTTTAATGTGTGTGTCAGAACACATTAACTGAATTGTTTCAATGAAGCTAAAGCTGATTAGTTTTACTCAATGGCTTTTGTAATGGAATCTGCTTAGATGAAATACTGAATGCGGGGTCAAGTATTGCCAGAAAATATATCAGAGTACCTTGATATCTGTATTTGAATAATATTCTTAAAAAAAAAAAACATCGCAAGAGATTTTAAATAGTTTTTGTTTATTTGCTCAATAATACAATGACACACCTGTCCCTAGGACACGACATCAGCTTAATTCACTAGTAATCGGTTTATGTTTTTGGCGCTTGGAAGCCAATGAGTGATTTTGTGAGCAGACACTGAATGCTTGGGGAAATGAAGGTGAACGGATACGTTTACCCAAAAACCAAAATTCTGTCATCATATACTCATACATCATATACGTTTCAAAGCTGACTTTCTTTTTCTGTTGGAGCATTAGATAGTTTGAGAAGTGTCTCGGTTTTGTTTAAACAATGGAAGTCAGTAGTCTCCAAATCTGTGCAGTTACCATTCTTCAAAATATCTGCTTTTGTGTTTTGCAGAAGAAAGAAAGTCATGCAGGTTTGGAGTGACATGAGGGTAAATAATGACAGAATATACTTTTTGGGTGAACTATCCCTTTAAGAGTCCCTCCAAGTCAGTCATCATGGGTTCTAAAGATTAAGGCCCACATCGCAAGAGATTTTAAATAGTTTTTGTTTATTTGCTCAATAATACAATGACACACCTGTCCCTAGGACACGACATCAGCTTAATTCACTAGTAATCGGTTTATGTTTTTGGCGCTTGGAAGCCAATGAGTGATTTTGTGAGCAGACACTGAATGCTTGGGGAAATGAAGGTGAACGGATACGTTTACCCAAAAACCAAAATTCTGTCATCATATACTCATACATCATATACGTTTCAAAGCTGACTTTCTTTTTCTGTTGGAGCATTAGATAGTTTGAGAAGTGTCTCGGTTTTGTTTAAACAATGGAAGTCAGTAGTCTCCAAATCTGTGCAGTTACCATTCTTCAAAATATCTGCTTTTGTGTTTTGCAGAAGAAAGAAAGTCATGCAGGTTTGGAGTGACATGAGGGTAAATAATGACAGAATATACTTTTTGGGTGAACTATCCCTTTAAGAGTCCCTCCAAGTCAGTCATCATGGGTTCTAAAGATTAAGGCCCTTGTTAAAACATTTTTCCATTCTCTGTTGATAAACATACAATAAACAGCTGCATGGTCAAATCACAATGGTAAAATGTTTATTCACAAGATAACTGATCAGTAGTAATATCTGTGGCAAACTTCAACGTAACTCAGACACAGGTGGAAACGCAGTTTCAGAGTCTCCGTTATGTATATTTATATAACCAACAGTCATCATAGCCAAAAGAATACACATTCAAATCAACAGTGTTTGACCAAAAATGACATGACAAAAAATATCCACAATCTTTAAAATCTTACCACTTTTTTTTCTGAGTATGTCATGTCTAAAACAGTTATTATCAGATGTAATAATGTTCTCAAATTAGAGTCATTAAAGTAGTTTAACACCATTGCCAAATACTGTACCTGATAGAAAACTATGTACTTTATTCAATATATACAGTGGGTACAGAAAGTATTCAGACCCCCTTAAATTTTTCACTCTTTGTTATATTGCATACATTTATCATTCAGTCTAGTGCGTTTTACATATAATGTAAGCGTAACTTGTGTAGATTTAAAAAGGCATGACTGCTTCATGTTGGTGTG